ACAAGCTGAGCCATTTTGATTCCCTATGGTAAATCCTGAGGCTCACATTCTGAGTTCTGCTTTGGACTTTCTACTTGCTTGTTTACTCTTCTAGTCAAATCCTTTTACAGTGATCATGGTAAACTCACTCCCCGTCTTTATGGACTCTTTGCTTTTTGGGGTTTGAACCATGTTCGTGGCAATCAACAAGTTCGGTGACTTTTCAACTAACCCACAGCGCGTAGAAGGTAATGTTGACACCAGACAAATCAACCCCAGTTGATGAATATGGGGGTGTTCCTCTCCAAAGTGGTCTGAATCCCCACTAATTAAACCCAGAAATGGACACCTATTAATAGACTGGGGTTGATTAATATGGGGTCAACATTAGGTGCAGAAACCAAGGAAAACCAGGATGTAAAACCTGAGGGCGAAGCCACATCGGAAGCAAGTAGAAGGTACTCGGGACCCAGTGGGTTTGAATTCGGGACCCCTTTTGGTGAGACCCGCTTCGCCCAGGATAGAGGGCGTGGGCCGCGAGCAGTACGCCGGCGCCAAAGCCCTTGCGAGGTTACACGGACGCACTTGATCCAACCACTTCGGTGAGAATTGGCTGTGGGTCAAAAGCAATGGTACCATTTTGGGGTAAGTGCACCACCCATTTCAGTCTATTTAGTGGGGATTGGGATGTTCACTGGGGGTAAGGAATTTTGAACCATGGCCAATTGGGAATCTCCCCCTTCATATGAGGGGTTAGCCTTTGGGAAGCCCATTGCATCACAGAAGTGGTCAATTCCCACAGCCCTGCTGTAGAACTACCCGGGTGAGAACCGGAGTCTGCTTCTGAGAAGGCGGCTCCTGGAAGACCAACTTTCCTGTCTGGTGTCGTCCTGCTCAGTTGGGGACTTTATTCATTTTGGAATGACAGTTTTAGTGGCAAGCAAACAGTTTCGAAGTGAGACCAACAAAACAAATCAGCCTTGCTTGCGCTGTGTTTCCTCCTACTTGGGTGTCCGGCCGAGTTTGCGAGTGGTTGGTCACCTGGGCTATAACCCGCTAATAAGGTTGACTTGACTGAACAGGGGACTTATAATCGGGCTATAGCTTGGGGGTTATTAACAACTACTAACTTAGCAACTTGGCCGAACACTCAAGAATATATATATATATATATATATATAAATATATATATATATATTACACACATATACATATATACATACATACATATGTACATATATACATATATACATATCTACATATATACATATATACATATATACATATATATATATATATATACATATATATATATACATGTATACATACACGATATATATATAATATCTGCGCAGGGACACGCTTTTCACCCCGCCCCCTTCCCCCCCTTCCTCTTTCCCCCCCTCCCCTTCCCTCCCTCCGTCCCCTCCGTCCCCTCCCTCCCGCCCTTCCCTTTTTCTACCACGCCTCTTACTTCTAAGAAAAACAAAACATTTTGGTCTTTTCAAAGTGTGCCTCAACTAGAATTCTGGGCATATGTTCTAGGATTCGATGCAATTGGCCAGCCAGCGGTCAATCAGTCAATCTGTTTCAAATGTTTCTTCATTGAGAAGGGGCTTAATAAGGATTAACTGCTTAATAAGGCTTAATAAGCCTTGATAAGGCTTATTAAGGCTTATTAAGGCTTATTAAGGCTTAATAAGGCTTAATAGGGCTTAACAAGGCTTAACAAGGCTTAATTTGGATTCGGGCATATTTCCTCAAATCTGGGGAGGCCCTCCCTTGGGAGGCTCTTCAGGGACACATGAATATAAATAGATAGACAGATAGATAGATAGATAGATAGACAGATATAGACACTGATACAGATATGGATGTTGGGGTTGATCAAAAGGTCCTTTACATGGGATGACCATTGTGGCAAACCACCAAAACGATGATATGTCCCACTAAATTTGGAATAGTTACCCATAGTCAAAAGCTGGGGGCTCTAGATGGAATATTGAACCCCCATATGGGTATGGGCCCAAATTCAACCACCAGGATATGGACCACAGGTTTTAGTCCTTGGTTCCTTTTACCAAGGCAAGCCATTGTTTTTTTTGACCCACAGCCATACTTTATTTATAGATCTAGTAGAGTGCTGCCAGTGTCACTGGTTGGAACCGGTTAGGTTCATTTTGCAGCACGGCGGCGAGCCGGCGACGACTTTGGGCCTCTTCTCGGAGGAGCCCATGCTGGGAATGCCACCAGAGCCCACGAGCCAGGCGAGGCGGCGGTGCTAAGAAGAAGAAACGGTTCTGGTAAATGGTCTCACCCCCCCAAGTTCAACGTTTTTCTTGTGTTTCTCTTTTTCTTTTGTTCGGAGGCCTTTGGTTTTCCTTTTTTTTGTCCCCGGAGGTGGCGGTGTTCTCTAAAGAGGAAACGGTTTTGGGGTGCAGAACTGGACGCAGTCCCCCAAGTTTCGCGTTCCTCGAGCCAGGCGAGGCGGTGGGCTAAGAAGAAACGGTTTTCCGGGGGCGAAATGGACTCACTCCCCGAGTTCATGAGGGTTGGTCGCTCTAAAGAAGAAGCTGGATTTCTCAAAATTCCAACTTAAAAATGGGTTGTTGCAACCCACAATTCTGGGGTGACTTCCTTTTGCAAGGGTTTGAGGGTGGAGGAACTGTTTTGGAGTGCTAAATGGGCTCACTCCCTGAGTTCTGAGGTTGTGTTTCGGACTTATCTGGACCATCGGAGATTTTGTTTGGCGAGTTCACTGAGGAAGGAAGTGGGTGGGCGACTTGTTTGGTCCATTTCTCTTTTTTCCTTTGGGGGTGTGAATCCCTTTGGTTGGTTTCTGTCCTTTTCTTTTTGCGGGGGACCCTCGGGTAAAGAGAGCACCTGCAAACAAGAAAACGCAGCTGATGGGGGGGGAACCTAGACTCGTGTTTTTCTTGTGGGCTTCTGGGCTTGACGCCATCCAGAGGGGTTCCACATCCTCAGCACATGATGCGGCGCCTGACTTACAGTACTTGTCTCGTCTTGGGGTCTTGCGTTTGGGAGAACCCAGCAAAGCCGAAAATCCAAACGGCCAAGTTGTTTGGTACGTGAAGGTGGTTCTCCTACTTGTTTCGTTGGGGTTGTACTACAGACCTAGTTTTGTTGGGGTTGTACGGCCAGAAAAGCCTTCATAACCATCTTGGTTCATGGACATCCGCAGGAATTCCTCCAGGAAACTGGGCAAGTCCCCAAAGATGTCCTCGAGATCTTGCTGTAGGCTTCTTAGCTTGGTAGGACCACAAGTCAGCTCGGACGCAATACGTGTCGCCCAGGTGGGGTGGTGGCTTCTTGGTGCCATCCTGCTGGTGGCTTCCGCCTCGATGAGCGTGGGTTGTCTCTTTGCTGCGCGGAAGCGCAGGGGCTATGACGCAGCCCTTGAGATGGCATGATGTCTCACTTCAGTTGACAGAGGATTGAATGGAACAGAGGGAACCGAGGGAACAGAGGATTGAATAGAACAGATGGAACAGAGGGTCGCACAGAATTTCACCCCGTTATGCTACCAGTCTCAAAGTCACCCAAGTGGCTCAAGGGAAACCACCCAGCAGTTTCTGACTTTGAGAACCCCCAGCAATTGTCAATTCAGTTAGCCACTAATGGGGTTTGGACCATTTTAGTGTTCGTGGTAAAGGCAAAGTTTGGACCTGTTTCTTATTATGCTGGGTCGCTTTGTAGCGTGTGCCAGTGTACGGCTGGAGTATGTGTCATATCTCTTGACCAATTGGAAGTGAGCTTTGCGGCCTCCTTCTGTGCTAGATTCAGAGACCCTGGGGGCTCTATCCAGGAATGGACCCCCAGAGTTGCGCGGACATCGCTCGCCTCGGAAGACGAACACGTCTTGAGTCGCGGGAGCGTCTAATTGTTTCAGTGGAGGCCAAGGCGCCAACACAGTGCCCAAAGGGTCCCTTGGCACCTCCTATTTGCGAATTGGAGGAATCTGTATTTGACGAATTCCCGAAAGAACCAAACCCAAAACCGGACTTAAAATATGAGTCTGGGACCCTTGGGAGAGCGGCCGTTCAATGCGAATCAATCCTTGATCCTTCCCTCAAGTTGAAATTGAGGGTGGCTTCCCACTACTTGGGTGTTCGATTCGCCAAGTTTGTAAGTTGTTAGTAGCCTAAGCTAACAGCCGCCGATAAGTCTCACGTTCAGTGGAGTCAACCAGGTTGTTAGTGGGCTATAGCCCAGGCGGCTAACCATACTAGCTTGGCCGCAGTTTCAAGCAGACATTGTGGACTAGGATTGGCCTACCTCCAACTTGAACAGCCCAGCCAGTAGCGGCAAGCGATCCTCAAAGCATTGGGATCGTTGCCAACGCTTTCCGTCTGTATTGCGAGACAAGTTGTGGTGAGCGGCCGCTGTCGCTGATCTTGGGTTGTGCCAAGTTAGAAATTCACCAGAAATGAGCCAGAAAACATAGAAGGGTGTGCTTTGTTCCCGTGGCAAACCCATTGGGCAATCAATAATTTTGTATATCATTATATATAGTGTATATATATATACGTGTTTGCACATATATATATATATATATGTATATACACAGACATGTCTAAACACAGCTACACCCTTGCCCCACTTCCTGTTCCAGCAATACATGGAGCCGTTGTTGTGAATCGAGGCCCGAAGAGTCCTGCATTGCAATTGGTTTTATCGTCTGACAAGCTGCGCTAGCGGAGTTGTCCATATTCTCGTTACTTGGAGGGCTTTCGAAGCCTTGAGGTTTCTCATCATGCTTTCTGGCTTCGTATGTTGGTACCCCACACACACACACACACATGCGCGCGCACGCACGCACGCACTCACGCACTCATTCGCACGCACCCGCCCGCCCGCCCGCAGGCAGGCACCCACCAACCACACGCGCCCGCACGCACGCACGCTCGCACCCACCCACCCACACACACACACACACGCTCACCTTGGGGCCGACAAAGCTAGACAAACACTGGACTGGATACTACATAGTCCAGCGCCAGGCCAACTTGAAGGGTGAAAGTCCCCTCTCGGTGTCGGAGCAGTTGGGCTTCAAAGACGTGGCGACTTGGCCGCACGGCGGTCGCGTGACGCAGCCAAGCCATCCATTTCCTGCCCAGAGGCTCCTGGGGTCAATGGAAGACCCGGCCTCTCCATTCGACACTCGGAGGTGTTTGGGGGTCTCAAAACCTGGCTGTTTGAGGGCCCTAAATACATCGGGAACCTCTGGGTGGGAAGCAAGTTGCCTCATGTAAAGGGTATCCTTGGGGTTCAACCGATGCGCATGAAAATAATGGCCTTGGGAGGCAATGGCAATCCGTCGGAAAACAATGCTGGTTGTGCTGACCCAACCATTCTTTTGGTGGTGGGTTGAATCCCAGGGTATATAAGGTTGTTTTTGTGAGGATATATACCGTTTGCAGCTGTTGTTGAAAGGGGTAGCAAAGCAACACCACCTTTCCGGGGTCTTTTGTGAAGACACTGAAGTACCCCCAAGCCATTGCTTGAAGTAGGCTATGACCATGACAATTGGATCACTGGGGTTGGTCCCCCGGTTTTTTAATCATGGTGGTATCCGACTTACCTGACGTTGGTTGAACATCCGAGTACGCACGTATAGTTGATCGGCTGCATATTGTCACTGCAACCCCCTCGAAGTGGCTGGGGGTAGTGGAAACCAGCCCAGAAAACCGAGCTCAATTGAGCTCCACCTTTTTTGGATTGAGGGAGACCCACCAAAAAAGATCGGCTTAGCCGCGGCTTAGCCAATCACTTGCAGGTTACCACCAGTAGGTCCTTGAGTAACCCACCGCATTTTTGCCTAGTAGATCATGGTTTCCCTGGTCACATAGTGGTAGCTGGAAGCACTGGGCATCCCCAGAGCTCCAGAGGCCCTGGCAGTTCCATTCTCCCTTCATTTTTTTGTTGTGGGGTTCCCTGTAGATTCAGCCCAAAGGCAGAAGTGCCGATATTTTTTCCCACCACTCGGGGTCTACGGCCACACATCAACCTGGATTCTTATGGTTTGTCCCACTCCCTTTGAACAAAAAGGCGGTTTTTAATTCCCTATGGCCAGGCAAGGAATCCATTTGGCCATGGTTCAAACCCAATGGTACCATTTTGGGATAGGTGCACCCATTTTAGAACCTATTTTAGTGGGGACTGGGATGTTCACTGGGGGGCAACCGGGGTTTTGACCCATGGCCATCAAACGAATTTATCGGGTAAAGCCAAGGCTTCCTCCGGAGGGAGAGCATTTTTCCCGGACCACCCGGTGCTGGGCCCCAAATCTTGTGTTTCGGCTGAACTTTCATGCCTGCTGTTTCTTGGTGGCTCCCAGCCATCCGGTTCCTTAGCTTTTTAGATCTTTTCAGTGTTTAGTGGTAGTTTCCGAATTTCAGCCACTAAAAGTTAAACTTTCAGCGGGGGATCAGAAATCGGGCAGCCCAGGTTTGTTGGTTGCGTCTTGAATTTCAGAGTCTGAGAGCATTGAATTGTAAGAGTGTTTTGGGCTGTCTGGTCTGTTCACTGGGCTATGTCTCTCAATAGTTTTTGGACAGCCTCCAAACTGGCAAGTGTGCCTTTGATTTCCGTTTTCGCCAAGCCCGAGCAGTTTCGGTTTCCCTCATTTTGAGCCGCACACCCACTTTTCCCCATCTTTCAACAAAAACACCTCCTCCCACCTCGAGCCGCACCACCTCCGCCTCGTTCGAGTGCGCTTGGCGTTTTCGCCCTTCGAGTCTGAGGCCGATCTGCTGAGAAACGCTGGGGCGCAACCTCCCAAGGGTGCGAAGAAAAAGAAGGGCCGCTGCTTGGCCCAACTTGTTTTTGTTTTTTGCAGAACACTGGCCGGATGGTTCCAAACCCAGATTTTGGGCTTCCTGGAGTCTCCCTCTTCTGACCCGAATCACAAATGGGTCAATGACCCCAAGATTTCGGGTCATGACCAACCATTTTTGAAGGGTCAGAAGGAGACTCCAGGTTTTTTTGTGCTGAACACTGGCCGGGTGGAAACCCAGATTTTGGGGCTTTTTGGACATGTTCGAACGAATGGATTTCCCTAGCGGCAAATAGGCACCCGGGGCCATCCCAGTGTGTTGGGGTTGGGTGGGGGGGTGTTGGGGGATTTTCCTTGGAGCAAAATATTGCACCCGCTTTCCAAGTCGAAAAATCCGCCCACTGGGGCAAGGGGCGATCGGGTACCAAAGGCAAGTTAGGAAGGTTATCGAAAACCCACTTAAGAGACTTATAACCATGGCTTTTGTTGGTAACGGTTGTTACCCGCTTACCTGAAGTACCCTGCCCTACCCCTTTAAGAAAGAAATCAGCGAAAACCATCCATGGCTAGGCAACTCTTGGTTGTTCAATAAGCGAATCGACCGGATCTGTTCTGTGGTTCTCATTTGTTGGTCCGTTGTTAGTGTCGGTCACAGAAGCTGAACCTTGTTTGTTTGAGTCCTTTTCGCGAGTTAGAACCAGCCATTTTCATTTGGCTTTTAAAGGGTGGTACCTACTATATAGGCAAATGGAACCACTGGGAATGGTTGGGATCACATTTTTATGGCTAGGAATGCTTGGGATCATATATCAACACCATGTTCACCGTTCAGGAGCTCTCGTCATCTACTTTGGGTCCCAAGATCATCATTTCAATGGAAATCGCTTGAACGCTAGGGCCTATCTTTCAGAGAATCCAATTTTAAGGCGCAAGGACAATATGAGGAAGCCTGGATATGGGAAGATTCCCCTGGCAAGCACGTAGACTTAGATTGAAGGTAAATGGTTCCAAGGGGGATCCTGTATCCCCGATTCCTCGACATCCCTGCTAGTTCGATTGTCCATTTTTTGAGAGACGTATATTGTGGATGAAATCAGTTCGCACCACGAAATGAGAGAAATCAAGGAATTGAAACCACAACGTTGGCTCATCATTCCACGGCTTCTGAACGTTGGTGCGAAATGTATTTTGCCCATCCACTGTATGACTGTCCTTTGGTGCAATTGTTTGGGGTCCCGTAAAAAGTGCAAGCAAAACAACCACGAGAGCTTCCGAGACCCTGAAGAATGGGGTCAAAAACCGCGAAAGGGTGATGAACATTCCTAAGGACGACTTTAGGTACAAATTGCCAAGGCCAATGCACACTTTTACTTGGACTTGGTAGGGATGTCGTTCAAAGTCTTCTGCGTTTTAGACAACCCTGAGATCTTTATGACCCTTCAAACATGGGGTCGGACATACCCAAAGCCAAGAGTCATGACCTATGTTTGTCCGGGCCATGGAGACTCCAGCAGGGTTTCGATGACAGAAGCTCGATGGTCGTCCGATCTCATGGCTTCTGAATTTGACCATGGCATCCCAAGTCAACCCCAAAACACTCTCCCCGCTTGGATATTCGGGCAAGTTAATCTTCAATTTGATTAAGAATATTTATTATTTTGCCTTGTTGGTTTTAAAAGGAATTTATCACTCTGGCAATATGTGTTTCTTTTTTCCAGGGGTCTTAACCAAATGGAAGTAATAAGTTGTTAGTATCTAAGTTGAAGCTCGCCTGTAAGCCCTCAAAGTGGAGAAAGCCTTGTTAGTTGCGGGTTATACCATTTGTGGCCAACCACTTACCAACTTGGCCGAACATCCACGTAGGGATCGACCCCGCATTAAAAGAATGGCAAAGACCCAATTTCGATTGTGGAGCTTCTTAGGTAACCAATTGTTGTACAATCCCAACCATTGTTTGAATCATATTAATTGTAGTTTGAATCCTAGGGCTCTACAGACCAGGCATTCTGCCCATCAGGGTAAACAAACCAGAGCCAGCATCCCTACATTACGGAACACTCCAATTCCTTTTAAAAAAAAACGGAGATCCCTAAAAAAACCCGGCAGTTTCCTCTGGGAGTTCATCTTAGGTGCACCCCACGGCTTGGAAGTAGACCCCTACCGTTTGGGTGCCGCCCACAATCAGATCCCCGCGCCTGAGGGAAGTAGATCGCGAGGCTCAGGGCTCAGACGCCTTGGGATTCGCTTCGCGGCAAAAAAAAGGGGCCCCGTGGCCTCCAGATGCTGACCCTCGACTCGAAAATGGAAAACCAGGGAAAACCAGGGAAAACATGTATACCTACCAGGGGAAAACCCGTCGGGTTTTTCAAGAGATGCCCCGAACCAAGGCGGGGGCTTTTGGGGATCTGTGTGTCAGAATGAGGGACCCCCTCTAGACAAGTAATGGGCGCGTGTCCGTTTGGTTTCCCTTCAACGCCGCCAATACCGGGGACCTCCGCAAAGAAACAACCCAAGGGGGTGGTTTTCCTTTTGGTTTCCCTTTAACCTCCCTGGAGTCTCCATGACCTTTACAAAATGGATCGTGGAGACTCCAGGTAGCCTGAAACACACTGATTGCCTTCTTGGTGTTGAACATCACCTAGGTTCTACCCTTGGCGGACTGCTTTGAGAGGAACTACAAAGAACCCTACTGTGGAGGGTTGCGAGATCCATTTTGCACCACGAAACGAAACCATGGTTGAAACTATAACGTCGGTTTTTACAGCAGGTTTCTTAGGTGGGTGCACAATGGGTTGTGGGGCCAAACAAACTTGCTTGCCATGATGAAGGCCTCTTTGGGGATTCCTTTAGTACGATTTGGGATGCACGAAGTAAAACGCGTCGACGTTGCGCACATAATGACCCCCTGAAGGTCTTATTTGGACCTATGCCAAGACAGCCCCTCCCCCGTGGAGGGTGTATAAAGTGTTCTTCAGTGGATTCCAGGCAAGCCAAGCACAGAAGGATGTTCAAGGTTGGTTGCATTGGGAAATGGAATCACTGGGTTCGATTGCCAAGGCCAAGCTGTGTGGGCCAGCACCTTCCGAACGTGAAGGCATGTTGGAGCTAGAGACAAGCCGGCGAGATATCGCGGGAAAATGAATAGCGCACTACTTCGGAACGGATTTGATGGAAGCAACCACGTAGGGTTCTGTGATGAAGGGAGCACCACGCCTGTTCTTTCCTTCGAATCCTTCGCGGAAGCAGCCTGTTAAGAGCGGACATGGTCGGATGTTACTTCTATGGTTCCCTTCTGGACTGCTGCTCTGCTTGGAAGCTCATGACAGACGCCAGGTTTCGATGGAGCTTTTGGCTCAAGTTTCCACATCCTGAATGTTCAAGCCTAGGTCTGCAAGTAGTGCCCTTTTACCGTTTTTTGGGGAAGGGTTCCCCTACTAAAATAGAATACAGAAAAAAAGGGTACCCTTATTTTAACCTCTCTACTGGAGGACCTAGAAGCAATAAGGGCAAGACAGCGCAGCCCCCTTTGGCGCGAAGGTTTCTTGCACGATGGCTGCCTGATCGATTACATGGGCCAAGCCCACCATCTGGCCGCTTGCGGCCCTGTGTTTTCGCAGGACGCGGGTCCAACTACTTGAAGGGGCGATCGATTCGGCGCGTCAGGTCAGTGGTTAGTAAGCCTGGTGAGACAACCCACTGCCCAGAGGCTCCTGGGGCTTTCAATGGAAGACCCGACCCCTCCATTAGACACCCTGGAGGTGGTTGGGGATCTCAAAACCAGGTTGTTTGAAGGCCCTAAATGAGTCGGGAGCCTCTGGGTGAACGGAGACTTAGAACCACGGCTTTTAAGTGGGCCATCACCTGGGTTGCTATCCACTTACTAAATACCCGATCGCCTAGATCTTCCGGCCTATTTTCGGTGATTCAGTGGATTCCGCACGATTGTTTCCCTTCTTTTCCGCTGTGGGATCTTCAACTCCTTGCTTTACCTTATTAGACACCACCGGGCAAATAATTTAACCAGTTGAGTTTGTTTTCCTTGACCATTGGCCACCAAAATGTAAGTGCCCGACCTTTCAGTTTCTTTGAGCCCACGGATTTGTTTCCAGGTTTCCAGGAAGCCACGTGGACACGGGTATAGTTTGAGAAACCTGGTTTGCCAAGGCAAGTACCTGGAGTTTCCATGACCCTTTAAAAATGGGTCAATGACCCCATGATTTTGGGCAATGACTCCATTTTTTAAGGCTCATGGAGACTGCAGGTATATCCTTTTCTTTTTCAGTCAGGCGAGAAGGTGATACCCTTAGAGAGGCGAAACAAGTGGGTGTTGGCAGGGTCTTTTGGACCCCAGGATGCTCATCTACCTCTTCCTCCTGCATGGCGCTTGGGGCGTGTCGGTGTCTCTGCCGAAGCCGAGCGCGGCACGGCTCGAGGTGATGTGCGAGGCACGAATAAAACAAAACGCGTCTGGGGGTCCCTCGGTTTTCTTTTGGGTGCGTGCTTTTCCCTTTTGTAAGGAACGCTCTTTTGAAGCTCACCCTCCATTCCTTGGGTTTGCGCCACCCCAAAGTGGTGGTTTCCCTTTTGGTTTCCATTTACACCAACAGAGGGTACCCTCAAACGAATCAATCCATATCTGTTTCGGTCAAAATGACATTATGAGTCCCCTGCTGTTTTTGAGAAATTGGCGAGTCCCCTAGTCTTTGAGAGGGACATTTCGAGCTCGTCCCTTCCCCTGGTGATGCAAGTCCCTTAGGCAGAGGCCAAGTCCCGACACGAGCTGCTGCAGAGTTGGGTCGCGCGCATTTGGCAGTCCGCGGAGGACAAAGATGTGTCTCCCTCGCGTTCCTGGGCTGCAAGGCCTTTGACCTAGCCCCAAAACGATGTCATTTTGTCCATAGAGTAGACGTAATGTTGGCTTCTGGGCTGAACAAACTTTTCGGGACGTCATTTTGGATCTCCCTTGGCTAGCTATGCAACGCAATTTGGACATATTGTTTTTGGGTGTGATTACCCAGGTTTGGGTCGAGTCGGGTGGTCAACAAACAGTTCGGGCAATCCCCTTGGGTTCGCTGAACATGGCCATGCAATGTGTGGCGCATCTCGGGCCATTTTCGGACACGGGGGACACCCTCAAAAATTGCCACGAGGCGGTTCCCAATGTCGGGAAGCCAACGGGAATCAACGGCATGTTTTCAGACGGCTCATATGCGAGGTGACCGGCCGGTTGTTCTGTCGGGGTCTCCGTCCAGGCAAGCCATCCTACCCCCTGCTACAAAATACCCGTTGTTATGAGTTTCTTTTTTTTGCGTTTTTGAAAGCCTGGTTTTCTAGGGTATCAAGTGGTGGTGGCCCAAATTGCCTGGCTGAAAGTACATGGCACAATTCCCAGAATTCCCATGGTTTACGCATCCCGTTTACCAGCGTCAAAAGGCAGACCCCATAATTATTTATATGGGTGTGTCCCTGTTAGTGGTTCACTAGAGTAGAGGGGAAGACCGGGCCCAATTAAAGAAAAGCCGGGGTTCTGCTTCATCCGGGGCCCAGGCATCAGGGTTACAATCTGTTTTTTACGCTTCCTCATACAAACATAGCACCTGTGGGAGGGTACCTGGAAGATGGTTTTCTTGTTGTGGGCACCCTGTGACAGTTGCCATGGCAACGTGGGAGGGAGGGTAAGTTGGTTGAACGTCCAAGTAAAATCCAAAAAATCGGCCAACATAACGAGGTTTTGTCTAGAACAGGCTAGAATATGGTGATTCCCAGGGCGTACTCCCAGGCTGTAAGGTGAAACGCTTGGAAGTCGGTCACGCGAAGTTTTTTTTTGGGGGGCTGCCAACAAGCGGTTTTGCACTTGGCGCGAGATTTTCATGAAAGTAATGGCAACCAGCACCCGGCAACCACCGCGTTTTGGACAGATCTTGGGATGTTAAACAAGGAAAAAGGCAGCAATTTATATGAAGATCCTGAATGGGTACACAATAGTGGTACATGAACTGCTTTAGAATATGAACGCAGCCACTGTTGTAATGGTTTTAATCTCAGTGCAACAGTTTTCCAGTTCTCTTGTCTCACTTCCGAAGTTCGTGCACTTGAGTCACCTAACACCATTTTGGGCGAAACAGGTTTAGGCTTTGGGCTGATCATCGGAAGTCAAATTTTAATAAGGTCTGGCCTGCTTCCAGGCATGCCATACTGCAGATGGTTGCGAAATCGATGTCGCACCTAGGAAACCCAATGGAATGATTTGAGTCCCCTGTAAATACAAACCAACACCACATATAGTGTCAAAGTGGTGAACCTGGATTTTGTCCATCCACAGTAGCAGATAACGAAAGCAAATCATGTACCTAGAGGTGAGAAAATTCCTGGCAACCTATGGCTTTGCCGCAAGGGAAGCGCTGAGTTCGATTCCTGCCGGCCCGGGTTTCGTTTAGCCCTGAGGCTTTCACGAAACCGACGCGGACGGCGAGGCAAGGCGCTACACGCTGCAGGTGGACACCGAGAAGCTGAGACGGGCGGCGGGCGTCTCGCCGGGTTTTGCCGCGGGACGCTCCAAGACTTTTTGTTTCAGGATGCCTTTTTTGGTTGGCTTAAAGGGGAACCAAAAGGACACCAAATCTTGGCTGAGGATTTTGGGCGTTGGGATCATCTGAAAAGTGGCTGGTGGACATGTGTCCCCCCAAATTATGTCCACCAAAGGGTGTGGGACCCATGAATATAAACACCCAAATGAGCCCAATGTTGATACAAAACCAGGGGGGGCCACTTTTCCCATGTCCTTTTCAGGAACAAGCAACATTGTCCGCGGGTCATATGACTTTACCTAGCAAATGTCCTGAGCCATCAAAGCCCGAACCACAAACTCATTCCGGAGGTCAGTTCCGTTTTCAGACTTCATACTCTTGGGAAGACAGCGCCAGTCCTCTCAGGAGTTGAGGAAACCCGTGTTTCGTATTTCTGTTGCGGAGATCGCATCACATCAAGTTGAAGCCTTGACGGAGATTCGTGGTATAGCGAGGTGTTCCAGGTCCATCAAGCCTTCAAGCGCCCCCGTGTTGTATCTATAGCTATGTCAGTGTGACCGAATCGCGAATTGCCCAAAAGGAGAGACCTATTGAAGAAATCTCTCCACCTTTTGCTCGTTCGGGCAGCTTGGAGCAACCCAAAGGGTCCCGCGTGCTGACCCCGGAGGGTTTCCAGTGATCCAGTTTTGTCGAGTCCGAAGGGGCTGCGCTCCAGATTAGCATATCACCCCAGAACCCCGTCTGCCCCCTGTAAGCCAGGGCTTCAACTGTCCAGGGGCCCAGGGGGTAAGTATACCTGGAGTCTCCAGGACAAGTGAAGAATGGGGTCATTACCCACCATTTTTGGGTCATTGACCATTTTTAAAGGGTCATGGAGACTCCAGGCAGGATGCCGGACCTGATAAAAGAATCTCACCGGCTATCGTCACCTGAAAGCACTGGGATTGGGGCAAACGGTGTTTTTCTCTTGGCCCTGCCCAGATAGGCTCGGGGCTGTAGCCCATAAAGCGCCTGATGTACTTCAGGGGCCTTTCAAGGGTTTATTGGGGGGAGGATTTCCCTTTGGTTCCCCTTTTCATTGCAACCCCAAAAAGGGTACGCAGAGCCTGACAGAGACATCCCCCACATTTTCTCCTCACAAAATGGTGATCCTATTGGTGTTCCTTTCAACCAACCCCCCAAAAAGGCTACCGAGCCGTCACGGCTTGGGTGTTCGATTCGCCAAGTCAGTAAGTTGTCAACCTAAGTTATGGCCCGGTTATAAGCCCCCGAACTTCGGCGGAGTTGAACTTGTTTCTGAGCCCGTTCAGTGGAGTCGACCTTGTCATTGGCTTATGACTTACCAGGTGGCATTTTCCACTTGCCATCTTGGCAACGAAGATCCAGTTACCACTCTAAAGAACCTGCCACCAAGAAATCTGGCACTAGTTATGACGTTGGAATTCACGGATCCCATGTGTACAAATATATATATATATATATATGTATAGGTGTGTCTTTTGTCGGGGACCGCCCCCCCAAAACAAAACAGAAAAGAAAGAACGCAAAGCAGAACAACGTGAGTTTTCCTCTTGGCGGCCCCCCCAAAAGAAGACAAACAAAAAACACGGGTACCAACCCAAGTGAGCCACAATCAAAACCCGGGTAGATGAAGGTTAATCAGGGGCAGTCCGAGCCAGAAATCGTTGCGGCCGCCTTCTTTGTTCTTGAAGCATGGTTCTGGGATTTTTTGATTGTGACTCAAGTGAGCAAACCACCTATCAACTTCCATTTGCTTAAGTGTGTTTTATTATTATTATTATTATTATTATTATTATTATTATTATTATTACTATTACTATTATTATTTTTATTATTATTATTATTATTATTATTATTGTTTTCCCTTGTTGTTTATATCTTCCCTTGTTGCTTCCATTGTGACTCAAGTTCTCCTTCTCCAAGTTTTCTCCTCGAGGTCCCGGACGGCGGCTGGTGGTCTCCTGGACCACCGGCGGGCCCAAGCGCTGGGCCATCGCCCACAACCTGGCGCTCTCCGTGCGCCAGAACGCGCCTCAGCTCGAGAGGCTCGAGCCAGAGCCAACGAGCAGCCAACCGAAAACGGTTTTGGGGTGGGCTATGGGCTGGGCTTTGATCATGTCGAGACTTTGTTGGGCAGCAGTTCTCTGCCCAAGAAGTTGTCCATTGCAGGAACCACATGGCAGTGAGGCTTTCCTGGTTATCCACCTGTTCCTAGCATTTGTTTGTTGTTGCTCTTTGTCATGGACCGCTAAGCGGGGGCTATGCGGGGGGCTATCACTTATTAACCCCGAAGTAGGCCTTATTAAGGGCTTATTCTGGGTGTATCCTGGGATAGCCCCCGAGGGGTCCATGCTTTTGCTTTCGATCCGGGAATCCGACCCGCAGGTTTTCCATTGAGTTTGTCTCATGGCAACTGCATGAGCCTGCGCCCAGGCAGAGGGGTTAAGCCGGTTAAGCTTCTTCACTGTACAGGACCCCTGTTGCCCTTGGAAACAGGGGTTTCACTAGGTCGCTAGGGTCCCTGATTTCCCTGTGGACCTCAACTAGTGGCGATGGTTTCAGTGGAACCCGGCAGTAAATTGCGGCTTATGGGGAAATCTAGTGCCCTACGTCTAAGGGTAGACGAAACCCAACAAAACGTACGGCAAACGGTGTGTGTTTGTGTACCCCCAAAAAAGGGGGGGGGGCAGCAAAACAGATAAAGTTGTGTTCGCAAAAAAGGGGCCAAGAACAAACACATGCAAAAGGGATATAATACGTAATATACTGGCATGTTGTGTACCCCGAAAAAAGGGGGGCCAAGGAAAAGGGATACCAGGATACCCTGAAAGATTTTCACCACAGATCCTGAGCTTCTGGCAGGATCTTTGTGTTCATCGCCCTGGACCCCGACGCTGTGGCACGGGCGGAAGCGGCGGGCTTTCAGGCAGTTCTGAATGAGCACCCCAGTTGCCAGTGGCGTTTCCTTGTTTTTATTTTCCTTTTTGGAAAAGGGTGTTGTCTCCCTGATTTTTGGCAAAGTTTGATTCGACCCCCCGACCATGACATATTTGGGTTGAACATGAGTTTCTGTTTTGGGCTGGGACGGGTTTCCCTTTGAATCAACCAACAAAAACGCTGTTTCCCATGGAAGCCGACTGGGCTTCTGAGGAACTCGACCGACCTGCAAGATGATATCTGGAAGATGCGGTGGCTCATTCTGACCCTTTGCCCAAAGTATTTGGACCATGAGGGTTCCCCTACTAAAATAGACTACAGAAAAAAAAAGAGCACCCTTATTCTAACCTCTCTACTGGAGGACCTAGTTTAAGGGACGCAGAGATGTTCAGTTGCGCTGGGGAAGGTTTGTCTCCCGAGATAGGCGGATGTCATTGTGGAATTTTATTGCATTGGGGCGAGCATGTTGTCCTAATCGCATCAGTAGAGTTTCATAGTTGATGAGCCAAGCGAGGACCACCTGCATCTCTATAGGCCTGGAGGCAGGGTTGTGGTTGATCACAAGGTTTCTCCAACCACTTCTGTGATACCTTCCGCCAATCTCCCTCTTAAAAGAAGGGGGTTAGTCTTTGGGAAGCCCTTTCTGTTGTATCGCAGATTCATGGATTCCATTTCAACACACAACCCCTCACTTCCTGAGTTGATGGACTTTAAACTTTTTGGAAAGACCATTTTTGTGGTAAACAAAAAGTTCAGACTTTTTTTGGCCAGTCAACTTGTGAGACCCTGGAGGTGTTGGTGGTGGACTCAGACATCGTCTTCCTCGCCGACCCCTTCCAGCAGTTTTTCTTCGATTCGGACCTCGAGGCGATGACAGACCACTTCTTCCCGGCAGAACAGCTGTGCCCCAGAGACATGGCCGTGTCCTTTTTTTGGTTTTGCCCCCCTTCTGGGGTTGGTTTTGAGGGGAGACCGAAAGCGACACCTCCATTTTGGGGTTACCCTAAAACCAGACCACATGTCCGACTTGGGGGTCCAACCCTTGAAACAGAAAGTCCAACCAGTGGCCCATGTCAAACCAAAGGGAAGCCTCCATTTTGGTGTTGTCCCAAAAAACACACACACACACGTGCAACTTGCCCATTTGTCCACATATTGTCTTGCTTTGGTCCAAACAACTGTGCAAAGCTTAGCCAAAGACGCAGGAGCGCCCTCTTGCCAACCGGAAATCGTGAACCTCAGGTGGGCAACTTGGCTGCGACCTGCCGAACACATCAACACCGGGTTTCTCTTCGCGCGCCCCTCTCGGCGGCTTTTGGATGCTTAGCCTCATCATGCCTCATCTTTGCTTGTTAAGCTTGCCTTCATTTCCAGACGGGTCCCTTACCTTCGGGTTCAAGCCAACCCATTCTCAGCCTCTACATCTGTTTTTGTTTTATATCTGTTTATTAGTGCAACTCCATCGATGCCTCCCCTGTCTCCCGCCGGTGTGTTTGGAAACAACACGTCGGTGTTATGTGAACCCAGGATTAATTAACGAGCATCTTTTAAGTATGAGGGTCTGGTCGGGGTTCATCACTTCCGAAGGAGAACACCCAGAGGAATACCCATAATCAAGGGTGTAGAAATTACTTCAGTCAAGGTGTAGATTAATAAACTCAACCTGGAGGATGAATAACCACCTCTGGAGGAGAGCACTTCTGAAGGTTTATTCATCCGGGGTCGACATTATCCTCTGCGCCAAGGATTTTCTGACCGAGTTCATCGATCTGCACTACCACGCCTACGAGGGGCCCACGCTGCGAGACGGCATGGACCAGAGAGTCTTCAACAAGTTGCGCGGCAGTTCCCAGCCATACCCTTGGGCGTTCAATGTTTGCTTGCTTCCAAAATGGTCTTCCAATCCAGGACAAGTCCAGGGAGAGATAAAATCTCAAAATATGAGGATAATGTTTTTGGTTAGGTTTTGGCTTCTTTTTTCAACAATGGTCCAGGCATATCTATTTTATGTTAGAAAGCCCTCCAAACACTAAACAGTTTAGACTTGTTCTGGCAACAAACTCATGAAGATATTATTTGTGGCATACCCTTAGACTTTCAGATGCTTAGTTTTCAGAGATATGTGTGACATGTCCTTGGACGTTTAGGTGCTGAAAGTTTTAGGGAGATGTATCACATATCACAGCAGGGAATGAGGGAAGGACACTTATAAACCTTTCAACTGGTGATTTCCTTCAAGGGCACCAATTCCTGGGTTCATTCCTTCACTCCTGCCTTTCGCACCAGCCAGTAAACCAATTCACCTCCAGGGATTCACGCAGCTGAGGTTTGTTATGGGCAAGATGGAGACATTCCCTCCGGAGGCCACTCGGCTGGTCGGTGAGTCGGGTTCCTTGGGTCGCGTTCAGCCGACCCAGGGCTTAGCGTTTCGCCACTTAAAGGGGCAGTGTACCTCAGCTCTGGTGCATTTTGCCAAGGGATGTTAGGACTTTAACTTTTTGCCAACTAATGGGTTTTCCATTAAACCACTAAAAGTTAAACTTCTAGCAGGGGAGCAGAAAGCAACCGAGTCAGGTAATTAAGCGGTTTGTAAGCCTGGTGAGATGACACAGTGAACGGAGACGAAGAGAACCATGGCTTTTGTGGGTCAAGTGGTTTGTAAGTCATAACCCACTGAACGGAGGCTTGTTAGCATGGGCTTTTGTGGGTAAAGGGATTTACTGACCACTGTCTAAGTCCCCCGACCCTTAAAGTATAGTAGGTAACCGTTCGGTATTCTTAACTCTCGTTTGTGCGTGAGGGCTTCCTTTGGTGCTAGTCGTGATGGAATCGCCACCCGTTTCGGACCTCTTGCATGGCTTCATGACAGATCCATTTATATGTAGAGGTCGACCAAATTTAGCCCGAAAATAGGTTTAGGTAAGCCTACGGAAGGCGATCCTTGTGCGCTTTTTTCTTCTTTTTTTTTCGGGGAGGGAAGGAGCAACCCAGCTAAATGGGTGTGTTCAAGTTCCTGGAAGGAAAGGTAGAGGAGAATGTAGGGGATTTTTCGGTACCTGTGAATGGAACAGGGAAGTTTCTTTTGGCTGGTTGCTGTTCAACTTGCCGGTGCTCAGTAGGGAACGTGGGAATGAACCCAGAAATTCCCCTGGAAGGAAACCACCCGTTGGATGGTTTTTTTTCGGGGTCGAATTCCCATGTCCCATTTCGAAATGGCACTGGGCAGCAAGTTTTTGGGGCAATCCACAGAAGTGGATCTCTATCCCCAGGCCCGGGAGTTTGGAGGCTTGGGCTTTGCCCTTCGGCCCTCAAGTTTTCAGGCCTTGGGAAAGGGCAGACTTCTGCTCTCGAACCCGGGCGCCCAAAAAAAACCTGGGCTAGACTTTGGATTCAAATGACATACATCTGCATTTTACCTGGGACTCAAAGTGAAGCAGAGAGTAGAATATGGCCTAACTCTCATTGAACCACCTTCCCTTCGTTTCTTCGTTTCTTGGGCTTCCTGCGCTACGAAGTCTTTGTTGACAATACCTGGAGTCTCCTTCTGGCCCTTTAAAAATGGGTCAATGACCCCATGATTTTGGGTAATGACCAACCATTTTTCAAGGGTCATGGAGACTCCAGGTATGTGCTTTGGGTTGACTTCATCTCCCTGCCAACTGACAAGCGGGTGTTTCAAAGTTGTGATGTTCCAATTTGCTTCCCATTGAACAAGCTACCTCGAGGTGTCCAGCAAAAGAAGATTCCTCAAGCATAGCTAGCGGTTTGCTTCTTAATGCCATTGTCTTCGCGGGGGGAATGAGACTTGATCGGAGTGAAACTGGGTTTGTTTAGACGAAACCAAACAAGTCTTAGCACGCAGGCTCCAGTTTTCCTCACCACGCAATCCAGAACCCAACGGCAAGAGCATGTTAGGGTTGCCCAATTCATGCGGAGGGTCCAGGTACCACGTGGGTGTCCGATTCGCGATTTGTTTTTACTATTTGTGGGCTGTAACCCAGCCAGGTGGCGAACCACTTACTAACATCCAATTACCCTTAAAAGTCTCCTTCTGACCCTTGAAAAATGGTTGGTCATTACCCAAAATGTTGGGGTCATTGACCCATTTTTAGAGGGTCATGGAGACTCCATGGATGCCTCCTGCTCCTGGTATTCGTTTGTGCCCTTCAAATATTGGCAGTTCGCGGGCACCCTCCAGCGAGGGGGGGGGGTCTTTTTGCGACCTTTTTGTGGAAAATGGTTCGACCCCCTCGTAGTGAAGGATTCCTGTTTAAGGGGGTCGCCAATTTTCTCCACCCAAAGGTGGCAAAAATGTTCCCCCCTGCGCCGCGCGCCCTCCAGAACCCAGGTGCTGACCCGCTATGAGAACCTCGCCTTCCCGGGCCTGGATTGGCAGAATCGCACCTCCCGCTTCACCCCGCGCTCCACCTGGCGCATCGCACAAGCGACGGCGTTGGCGCGATCTTTGAGGGCGATCTCTCTGCGGATTTTGGACCCAGCGCCTTGGTACGACCAAAGCAACAATAGGCGGTTGGACGAATTTGGGCATTCTCCTGACCTCACGGGGTCCCCTGCGGTTCAAACCACCATCAGTCCAATGGGTGTTCATATAACCATCATTCTGACCCAAGAGCAAGCAGGCAAAGGGCGCCATTTTTCCCATGGAAACCCACTTCGATATGTTTAATTGATTGGACCCATTCGTTGGACCCATTGGTGGACATCAGCAACATGCTGTGGTTTTGCCCACCGAAACGCATCGCTAGAAGCCATATAGGCTCCGGAGATCTATATATCCTACATGTAAAACAGAGCACACTAAGCAAACTACCCCGTCGTAAGCCTGCAGCTATGTGGTTGACATACAAACCTTTTAACAAAGCTTGAGGCTTGCTGGGTCACTGAGACAAGAGACAAAAGACACCAGCTTGTTCAATCATGGTCCAAGACACGAGAGAAGTGAATTTCCGATGCTTGCTGAGAGCAACTGGTGTACAAACCCTCAAATGGCAAGATTCCATTTTTCGCCAGGGTCCGATCGGGGCTTGGTATACAGAACCTATAGGTCCATAGTGCCCTTTTACCCTCTTTTGGGGGAGGGTATCCCTACTACTATAGACTACACAAAAAGTTGGGACCCTTATTCTAACCTCGCTACTGGAGGACCCAGTAGGACAAGCAACAAAATTGGGTACCTGGGTACCCTTGCCAAAGGACTTCTCATGCTTCGGGTTGAGAGCTGAGGTTTGTATTTCCCACGGCATGAACTACTTCTGGCGCAAGGCCCGCTGCGTGGGGGATGGGGTTTTGAACTGTTCAACCCGACTCAGGCAGACAGTTCCCCCTTGGTTCGTTGTCTCACTTCCACTTTCGGCGTTTTTGGGAAGACCATTTGTAGGAACCATTTAACAAACATATTTTCCGAGGAGTTCAGACTTATGCTGGCCAATCCACCCTGTCAGGCCTTTTAAACGGCTTCTGTTTTGGGGCGAAGAGTCTCCAACCTGCCATGTCGACGGATCGTCACAACGTCCCGCTGGAAGGGTCCCAATTCCGACAGCACGCCCCAGGGTGTGGTACTTCTTGGATGTTCGTGCATTTCGTGGAAAATGACACCAGGGTTACGACTCACAAGGGTTAACTCTAACGACAGACTAAGCGGATAGGAGACTCCAGGTTCGGTTAACAGCTGGCTGGCTTGGGCGAGTCGATCGCCCATTTCTTTCGGTGTGCTTCCTGGGTTCCTTGAGTTTTTTCTTGTCAGCTTGGGGGCCTAGGGGCTGAAACCGTGTTCCTTCGGTTTGTCTCGGCCTCCTCGTTTTTTGTTTTTCGTCACGTCCAAAGGGGGAGCTCCCGAAAAGCTTGACAGGCATACAAGCTGGCTCGATGTGGCGGAGTGCCAGGCGGGACCGTGGCTTTGAGATCGCCACGGTGGGATCGGAGGCCGATTTCGTGGAAAGGAATCTGGGTGTGTTTGTGTTGAGTTTTATGGGTACTTGGAGTCTCCATGACCCTTAAAAAATGGCTCAATGACCCCAGCAATTTGGGTAATGACGCCATTTCTCAAGGGTCAGAAGGAGACGCCAGGAAGTTTGAAGGGTAATTGGATGTTTGGCCAAATTAGTAAGTGGTTAGCCACCTGGCTGGGTTATAGCCCACTAGTAAAAAATATGGCGAGTCGAACACCCACGTGGTACCTGGCCACTCCTGGCCAGAGATATTGCCACAGGGATTGCAACCCAAGATTATGGTTGGCGAATCCCAGGGTGCAGGTACCCTTTTGGGTGCGGAACACCGAAGCCATTGTGCGGGTCCTCCACCATATTAGACCAGTTGGGTGACCGTCCTTTTCTTAGGGCACTCCACAACTGGGTGGTTTTCTTTTTGTGCTCAATTGAAATCACCAAAAGACCTGTGGGGATCCCAAAAGAGAAACTGTTGGGGGGAGCCCAGGTGTGTGTATCTCTTTGTCCCAAGAGAAGGGGAGCCATTGCTAATGACTCCGTTGCGAGTCCGGCCCAACATCAGTCCAGCAAGAGGGCATGCTTGTGTTTTTCGGAGTTGGTATCCATGTTTTTTTTTTGTCTTAGGGGAAACATATATTAAAAAGCACTACTCTTTTGGGTTCGATGCATTTGGGGTCTAAATCCCGAACTTTGACGCACCCCCACAGAATCATAAATACGGGCGGGTGTCCAGAAATCAACGACCCCGAAACCTAGTCTCGCCAATGGTTTCGCATACTTAAAGGGGCGATCGGGTACTTAGTAAGTGGTTAGCAAGCCTGTTAACCCACCGAACGAAGCCTCATAGCCAGGCTTTTGTGGCTTATAGCCAGCCTTATTTCCCACCTAGTAAGTACACTGCCTCCTTAACCCCCCCCGTTTGTTTTTGTTTTATGCATCTTTGGTAAAGGGCTCTTCATTAAACCTACGAAAGGCATCAAAAGGTTAGACACGTTGCTCCATGGCAAGTGGATTTGGACCCTAGGGGGCGCGCCTCCGGTGGTGCACGTGAACGGCGTGGACCCCAAGATGTACTTTCTCCGTGGCTCGGCTGTCGCCTGAAGCGATGGTTTCTGCTAGGCCCCAGACCACCACAGCCCCCAGGGAAAAAAAGGGATGGATATATATATATATATATATATATAGATATATATATATATGGGACGGATATACATATATATATATATATACACATACACATGTAATATGTATTGTATATACAACTATTTATTGGGGTTTCGTGGAATGGTGGAACCCTTGTTCGGTGGTTTTAGAGGGAAACCAAAAGGAATCAAGACATGTCGGGACATGTCGGAGTTCGCGCATGTTGATAAGCACCATGTTTGACACCCATATAGTGGTTCTATTCAGTGGCTTTCTGGTGGCTGTGCATCATGCCAAACTGTTTGGCGACTTATGGTTTTGTGGTTGACCAAGTTTTGTTTTTTGAAATCTGGTGCTGAAGTGGACATTGTTTCCTTGGTGAACAGCCAAAAACAAAAAAAACAATAACGGGATATTGTTCCATGACACATCCGACATCCCCCCTGTAAAAGTGGAATTGGGGGAGCGGGTTGACGCCTGGAGTTCCATGCTCGGTTCCATTTTCAGTTTCTGTGGGGAGACTGGGGAAATGGAATTGGAGAACCCCCCACTCCCCTCCCAGGGAGGTAGGAGGGATACCAACAATTTGAGGTGCAATTTTTCAGAGCCACACACCTTGTTCGCGACTGCGGCCGGTTTGCCCACGCCAGAACAAACGCCGAGGTGATAGAAACCTTTGGTAGAGCCACACACCTTCGACGCTCATGCGACCGGTTTGCCAACGCCCAGGTGACAGAAACCTGTGGTATGTGGATGACTGGGGCGAGCGCATGAAGGACGCCTTCTTTCTGACCTACGAGCACCCCAGGGGCCTTTCTCTGGCGGATGACTTCGAGGTGCTGGTGGCCGCTTTGGAACTGGCCGCCTACTTTCGCAGGAGAAAGGGTTGAGACGAAATGTCAGGCCCCCATTTAGGGGTTCCGCCCATTTATTGTAGGAGGGTAGGGTGTAAAGACGACTGAAAAGCTGTCCTCACGACTTCTGTGGCAATACCTCGACAAGATTCCTTTCCTATACCTCGACAAGAATGAAGGTCTAGGGTAGTGCCCAAAGGCATGTTGGAGGCATGACAATGATATACCACTTAGGAAAGGGGTATGTGCGACGTAACTTACTGCCTCGTCCATACCTCCAACACCCCTGGAAATGCATTTGAAGTGGTTTAGAGGTAGTGGAAACAATCTTGCATTTGGCTTACCTGAGTGGACATGAACCATGTGCACATGTTAGATTGAGCTGATCCAAGAGTTAGCGTATTCAGAAAGTTATGCCTAGAGGGTTCGATTTTGATGCCTGCTCTAAACACTTCCTGCACAGAATCTTGCTTTTCTGGATTGGCCACATAAATTCAATACTCACTGCAACAATGCCATGCACAAGCGGGGACTGATTAAGCTCCGGGAGGCTTTAATTTATGGGTGTCTTGTTTTGATCGCACCCTGTGGGGTTGGTTTCAGGAACCAAAACAACAGCCCCTTTTGAAGGCGGTCCCCCGCGCTTTGAGACAGGGGAACCCTAACCGAATTGGTTTCCCTTTGAACCCTCAAAGAAAGTTACACCCATTTGGAGCCAAGAGGAGAGTGGTGCTGCCAGATCGCATGAACTGCGCCAACAACCCGGCATTCCACATCTACAAGCTCAACGAAGCTATGGCGGTCAGTTGATTTTTTGTTGGAACCCCCTTTCTAAGCCGTTCAATTGATTGGGTTTGTCATGGTGTTAGGGTATCCTTTTTCTGGTGATTTTAAAAGACACCAAAAGGAAAACAGCCATTGTGCGCCCTTAAACCAGACACACCCAATTGGTGATGTTGGGTTTCCCTTTCTAAGATCCCGTCATTCCCGAAACTGGTTGTGGTTTGTTTGTTTCCGAATGTAACCCACTAAAGTTTAAGCTTTTAGCAGGGGATCTGAGGACAGCCCAGAATTGGCTTTGGTTTCCTTCAGAGTTCATGGCCGAAAACTGTCGATTTGTCGAGCCAAAGGAAACGATGGCGGATGAGCCGGGCTGCACCTACGACTACTTTGCCCATGCCAACGGCCTCTATGAAGTTTACTCCAGGGTAAAGCCGCCAGGCAGCACTAGCCGAGTCCAGGTGCAGGATGTGGGGCTCCTGAAAATAGTGGCTTCCTACGTCAGGTTAATGTTCTTTTGGTTTTTGCTCCTTTAAGCAACAACCAACATTTGGTACTTTGCGCCAGTTTGTTCCCCCGAAGTACATCCTTATGCACTCGGACCCTGAGAGGATTTGTTCTTCCAGAGTGGATTGAGAAAGCTGCATTGACTTCCGATTGCCTCTCTGTCCGTTGTGTTTCACTGCACTATCATTGGTTCTTCGGGGCAGGAGAGCCTTTGGACAACTTGTGGCTCCTGACTTGGTTGCCCTTTGCCCTTCTCTAGGGCAGATCATGGGGCCCTTCTCCGCAAAACACCATTGGTAGAGTCTCCTTTTGGGCCTTGGACCCGCCAAAACGGGGTTTTTCCATTAGTTTGCAAATGTTAGACCTCCTTTATTTGATAGTCCTCTCTGTTGTAGATTAATTTTCTCTATTTCAGGATCTTGTGACTGTTTTAGGGGTCCTCTATTATGGAAAGTTTTTGGGCCGGAAAAATGCCGGAAGCAACGCTGGGAAAAATGCAGGCAAACAAACTTGGCAAACAAGTGGGGCAAAGCAAACAATTCCTGGCAAACATTGGGAAATCCTTTTCTTGTGCTCCCCTACAAAAAAAGGTGCGGGCAAACAGTCACACAAAGGGGGGTGCCCAGAAGAGACCCAGATCCTCTTTAATGAAACAAACTGTTTTGGGGCCCTCTTTAGTGTCCAGCTCGTTTCGGGGTTGCTGAAAATTGAAAACCAAAGCCTCAGCCTTTTACTTTCAAAGGAGGGGGCTCATCCTAAGCTCTCCCCAGCTCAAAGGTTAAAGGCCTAAGATCTAGGAAATCCATTTTTCAAGTCATGTCCAAACCATCAAATTTAAGAGAACTTCTTTACACAACAGTGAGGGCACTCAGTCACGCAAAGGGGGGGTGCCCACAAGAGCCCCTGATCCTCTAGTCTGACTGTTTTGGGGTCCTCTTTATATAGTGTCCAACTGGTTTCTGGGGTTGCTGAAAAAAAAACGGTCCTTGGCAATACTAAAGTAGAATTGGCAATACTAAAGTAAGCACTGGGAATCTGAGAGTCAGCCTTGCAATATTAAAATAGAATTGGCAATACTAAAGTAAGTACTGGGAATCTGAGAGGGGACCTTGACAATACTAAAGTAGAATTGGCAATATTTTAAAGTAAGTACTGGGAATCTGAGAGGGCACTTGACAATACTAAAGTAGAATTGGAAATACTAAAGTGTGTACTGTCCCTCCCGACCTTTCAGGATTTCCACAACAGGGTCCAGCTGACTGGTTCCACTGTTCAGGAGGGGGGGGCGTGTGTAAAGAGGGTCCAAAACTGGCTTTTGGATGCGGAATGCCTCTCAGGAGTCCAGGAGTTCACGGAATGACCCTGACTGATGCATATGTCTTTTTGCAGATGGCATGTAAGGAACATTTTTTTGAAGCCGCAAGCAAATGTGTGCCTTCCCCAAGTTTTCTTCTCAAAAGCGGAGCCCTGGTGGGAAACCTTTTCAAACTTGCCTTTAAGACCTGATATCCTTTGTGGGTCTCACACTATGTTTGAGTCTTCAGGGCAACCAAACCCAAAAGATTCCTTGGTACCTCATAGGGTTCGGTTTTGGGTGTGGTTCAGGGGAATATGTCTCAAATCCACAAATTTGAGGTACTTGGAGGTACCAAGGGACCCTCAAACCAATGGCGCAGACGAAAACCCACTCCATGCAGCCAAACGACAACGTTGTTCGGTCCGAGGCCTTATGCGATCGAGGCCGGGGTGGCCCGGGACGCCCGATTCGCCAAGTTGGCTTCGGCCAGTCTGCCGACGATGCAGGAGAGCTGGCGCTGGGGTAAGCAACCGATGTGTCATGGACCCTTAGGGGGGGTTGTGCCGGAAGAGGCGGGGGGAGGGGCTCGGGTAGCCCCCCGCTCCCTATAGTGCACGCGAGCTTTCCAAGAGTCAGAACGATACAACTAAATGTGATTTCCGGAATCAGAACATGTGCGCAGGTCTGGACCAAGACGTGGGGTGTGTGTGTTTTTTGTTGGGTGCCCGTTTTGGTCGTTGCAAAGGCCAACTCAGGGATACATGTGAGAGTCGTCCGAAAGGTCGTTGTATTCAGCTATGAAGGGGAAGACCTTTTGGTCTTAGCGTTGACCTTCGCGAAAGTTCCGCGAAGGGGGTCGCGAAAGTTAATGTTTTTTTCCGCGAAAGTTTTGTGTGGCTTGCAAACAGGAAGCTGGAGTGATGAACCATGTGTATTTACCGGCAGTGCCGCAGAATGCCCGCAGACTAAAGTTGGTCGTAGAATGCGTAGTCTGAGGGTCGCCGCAAGAATACGCCGCTGCAACAGCAACCCGCAGCCAGCAGAAACCAGCTTCTGGGAGGTTTGAAACTGTCGGGGCAAGCTGAGCGCAACTTCCAGCCGGATTTTCGCGAATGTTTGGCGTAAGATCCGCGAAAGTTTCGCGAAAGTCGACGGACCTCCCCGCCAGTTTCCGGACATGAGGCCAACGGGTCTTCTCATGCGCAGCTTGCGGCTTGTGAGCTAGAGCTGCGGAAGCACGCTTCGCGTGCTACTTTGGAACTGAAAGGTCGCGACTTTCGAGCTGGGGCTGCGGAAGTTCACTTTGTGTACTACTTTCGTATTGAAAAGTTCTGACTTTCAAGGTTGAGGAAGTTTAGTCGTGTACTACTTTCGTATTCAAGCCGGGCTGCGGAAGTTTACTTTTAGTACTACTTTCGCACTGAAGAGCTGCGACTTTCGAGCTGGGGCTGCGAAAGTGTACTTCGTGTACTACTTTTGTGATGAATGTTCTGAAAACAGCCCCCCGAAAGTTCCGCGATGGGGTCCGCGAAAGTTTATTTTTTTCTCGCGAAGATGGCGGTTTCCGGAACAAGGAATTTCAGACAACCGTCATGTGTATATATATATATATGTATTTGTTTGGGGGATACCTGTTATAAGACACACCCTTGTTTTGGTAGGATGATGTGTCAAAGGGACATTTAAGGAACCCTATGTGAGCTCTTGGTACTTCTGGAAACGAACACCAACAGGAAGATAGTTGGTCTTCCTTTTTGTCGTAGGGGGACCACCCTATTTTGTCACATTACCATGTGACCAGCCGGAAAGTGATTCTACTACCTGATTTCATGGGGGTTTGCAGCCAGCTTGGCACATGCCTTCATATCCGTTTTCGTATCCTAGTCGGATCGGGGCTGAGCCTGGACCCCCGAGTTGCTTTGGGAATCCAAAGTCTATCCTTCGGACCCTTAGAACCAGAAGCCAATGCGTGTGGCACACCATTGTCACTACAAACAAACAAACAAACAAACAAACAAACAAAGAAACAAACAAACACAAACGCAGGACCCAACCCTAAACCCACCCCAAATGAACCCTTAGCAAGCCCCCGATATCCACCCTGAACTAGCCCTAAGCCAACCTTAAAGCCACTCTGGTAGAAACTGCTGTTCAATACCGCATGTTCAACCCAGATAGTAATTCGACGCATCAAGTTTTGCACAGAGTAGGCCCATGGGGGTGTCCGTGTAGCCAAAGGGACTTCACCACTAGTCAGTTGGCCAGCGGCGCTTTTCTCCCCCTTTTATATAGGCACGCGTTGGCTCCTTTGGGCACCTTGAGCACTTCTAGGCACCTTGGGGAACTTTTGCGCAGTGCCTCAACTGGGGTCCCCAACCACCGGCGGGAAGCCGACAAAGAAGGGCGCCTCGCCCTGCTGAGATGTTCAATCAAAATAGTAAGGAGACAACCAACCGTGCTCGGTCATAACTACAACCTACCTGCCGTCGCCGTCGGCAGGGAACATGGGGCACAATCAACACCCGGGTAGGTGAATGTTCAGGGGCAGTCTTAGCTGGACATAGTTGCGATTCCTTGCAGGATTCGGTTTTTGGGTTTTTGACTATTTGGATTTTTGCATTTGACTATATAGGTTTTTTGGGTTTTTGTTTTTTGGATTTCTTGCAGGACATAGTTACTCATTTGTGTATCGATGGGTTTTGATGATGACTCCAGTGGGGCACGGCGCACCCCTTGGAGGAGCTGCAAGGCGGCGTTTTGCGGGAGCAGCTGCTGAGCCTGCAGGGCAACGCGTCGGCGGTTGCCTTCGGCCCTGCCAAGGCGGGAGAAAAAAACCGCGGAAGGGGCAACCGGGGGAGCTCAGATCCGGGTGGGTCTTGTTTCTCACTCCAAGTTTCTGGGTTTTAGTCACTTTTTGGGTCTGGTTGCCACAAAATGGCAACCAACAGGTTAGTTTGGTTACTTTGTTACGTTTGACCAATCCACTCGATCGGAAGTGAGGGTTTGAGTTGGTCCCCTCGTTTGTCGTTTAGGGAAACCACAAACCAAAATTCTTGGGGGGTCCCCTAAAACAAACACACCCATTTGGGGGTGGGGGCGTTCTGACCAAGAAAACCTTGCCGCTATACACGAAATATATGCCACATGTTTCCCTGGGGGGGAGCAGGGTCTTGTTTTGTCTACTTGGGCGGGGGATGTTTGAATTTTGCGAATAGCAGAACAGATTGGAAGCCCTGCATCTTACCGCAATGCATCAAGGCTTTGTTGTTGGATGGTTGGTTCACTTGCATATTCAGCGCATTGAGCCCCTCAGAGATAGAGCCGAGCACTGGGTTATTACCCAGGTGGCCTTTCCACTTACTTTGGCGAATCGAACATCCACAGAACATTGCCTGGAGTCGCCTTCTGACCCTTGAAAAATGGTTGGTCATTACCCAAAATGTTGGGGTCATTGACCCATTTTTAAAGGGTCATGGAGACTCCAGGTGGTAAAGGGAAACCCGAAGCAAGCCCATTTGGGGGGATCCGATTTTCATTTTCAGATCCGAGTTTCTCCGTCGGGCGAATCCCAAACGGAGACCAACAGGGGATCATGTTGATTGTAGTCAAAAAGTAGAACCCTGCGTTGAATCTGCAGACTACTTAGTGGTTAGTCAGTCTGGTTATAACCCACTATGGTTACACACCTGGATCACAACCACGCTTACTATCTCGACTGCTATTGGCTTGGATCTTTTTAGACTTTTGACTTTAACATTTTGCAGGGTCAACAGCAACCAATCCACTCACCTTTGGTACCCTGCCCCTTGTTGACTCTCGGGTAGCTCGGAGGTGCTGCGGATCTCCGAGGATGTCCGGCTGTTGCGGGACGGCCTGCGCAGCGGCCACTTCGGGCTGCGGATGAACGCGGAGAAGGTCTTCAGCTGCGCCTATCAGGCGGGCGTCGGGCCGGCGAACATGGGCGGGTCTCCTGCAAAACTCGTTTCTTTGAGTTGTTTTTATCATATGGGAACCCGTGTCTCATGAGTTCTGGCGTTTTTTTTTGGACAGACTGTTCTTTGTGCAAAAGACTGCATGACAAAAGGTGTATGTCTTTTTTTGAGGGTACCCTTTTTGGGTATTTTTGAAGGGAGACCAAAGGACCAATTTTTGAGGGCCTAAAAAGCTACATGCCTTAACAAATCAGAGGGCTTCTTGGTGCCCGTAACCTGAGGTTCAAAGCACCAGTAAAACAATGGAGTTCATCTTTCACTATCAGTGGTTGCCCTACAGGATTGTCATTATCCAAATTGGGCGCCCTTGGGCTGCTTTTTTTTTCATGGGAATCGGCTGAACCCTGGAGTTATAGTAAAGCGTGCCATCAGCAGGAGCCTCTGATCGGCGCCATGGCGTGCTTGGACGAGCCCTACGTGGAGGAGTTCGGTGCAGATGCCATGTGCGACGCGGACAGCTTCGTCACAGGCGGAGCTTTCGTCGCGTGAGGCGTGAGGAGTCGCGAGGCGGTTCCTTGAAGGAATTGGTCAACGTTTCGGACCCTCTTGTATGTTTGCCCTGAACTAAAATGGGTATGGGTCAAAATTTAACCACCAGGGGACTGCAGGTTTACATCCTTGTTTCCTGTTACCAGGGAGCCATTTTGGGTACCAGGTTTTTGACCCACTCCCAAATAATCAACAACGATATATAAAGTGTAGGTTTAGGGTTGACCGTTGACCAAGTGTTCGCGTCCAACAACGTCCCAGATGCTGTGGTTCGCGACGCAGAATCGTTTGGAATATCATGGTTAGTTGCTCACTGCTGAACAGCGAACCAGCCACATGCAACAACGAACTATTGGTGACTTGGGGTAAAGTAGCAGAGGTTCCAATCTGCTTTTGGGGTTGCTCAAAGACCCGAGGGTAGCAAACTGGGTGCCTGCTTGGGTGTTTGGCCAAGTAAGTTGTTAGCCACCTACGCTATAGCCCGTGTGTAAGCCCCTGTGAGTGGAGTTCACCTTGCTATTAGTGGGTTATAAGGTGTAGTCCACTTACTAACTTGTCCGAGCACCACAGTGGGTGTGGCTCAAGATTAAAGAGCTTGGTTTACTCAGGTTTTAGTTTTTGGTTCCATTTGCCATGGTGCCACTTTGGCACATTTTTTTGAGCCACAGACAAGTGGAAAAAGGGAGCAGGACGCCAAACCCCATTTCCACGCCTGCTAGGTTTGCTAGGTCACCTTTTGCCTGGATTGGAGCAACCCTCTTAATGGTGGCATCTCCCTAGGGGAGTTTGTGCCCACATGGATGTTCTGCCAAGTTAGTTGGTGGTTATCCAACTATATATATATAACTTAGGCTTGGCTTGGCTGGGAAGCCCTTCATCCCCAGCCCCTGAAAGATGGAATTGGGGGGACCCCCGTCTGGTAGGGGGGCGGCAAGCCCTTCATCAGGAAGAGGTGCCCTGTCGCTTTTCCAAGGTCGTCTTTTCTCAAAAAATCGCACCCCTCAAAGATGGGTGGGTGGGACCTTTTGGCTCCCTCCAAAACCACAAAGCAAGTGGTACCCTCAAAAAAATGACACACTCATTTGATCTTGGGTAGCTGAAGGTTGGTAAAGAGAGTCCCATCCACAAATAGCTGCGGAGATGCGCCCTTTAAATTGGGTAGACCATTTTAGTACTCATTTGCTTCCCTTTCAACCACGCTGTTTGGTCAGGAGGGACTTTTTCGACCTACCCCGAAGGTACTCAGTTCCCGGATCCTTTGAAGAGCCTCTTGTTGGAAGGGTGCACTCAGAACCTTTTAAGCACCCGTTCTAGGAAGGTTCGCTCCCCATGTCATTTGTTTACATTAACAAATAAATAACGCTATCCTGGAGCTGTACAGACCTTTCCCTCCCCGTGTCATTTGTGCATATGTATTAAAAAACGCTTTCTATCCTGCGGGCTGTTTTAGTGGTACTCGCCGGCTTCCTGCTTGAGAGGCTGCGGGCCGGTGGGCATTTGCTGCTGCTGGCCCTTCTGGGGCTGGGGCGAGAAGCTGCAGTACTTCACGGGGGTCCCCTGGGACCTGCCCTGCCACGCGGCAAACACAACGGCGACTGACTCGATGGTCGTTCCCACGAACAAGGTTAACTCCACTTAGGGGAACTTATACACGGGGTATTGCCTATGTTGCCAACCGCTTACTAACTTGGTCGAACACTCAAGCAGTTTGCTAGGGAGTTTCGGGGGTCAACATGGGTCTGCCAACTTTATTGCGAGCTCACCGTTTCGGGGGTAAAACGAGGTCACCATGGCAAAGACCCTTTACTAGGCTATCCCTTATTTCATATGTGTTTGAAATCACCTCTCCGCCCGGCCAATTCTGATGCATCCATACAAAACGCAAGAGGCCCATGTTATTCTGCGGATGTACTTGGGTGTTCGATGCGCCAAGTTCGTAAGGTAACCTAGGTTATAACCCGCTTATAAGTCCCCCTAAGTAGAGTTGACCTTGTTATTGGTGGGTTTTACCACACGTGGCAAACCGCTTTCTAACATGGCCGAACACTCAGATACGCCATGAAAGTTAAAGGGGTGTCCCCCAATCAGAAATCAGAGTTGTTGGTTTCAGTTTCGGTTTTCTGTTTTCGCAAGGCTGCCCTTTCAAGTTGGTTTGAAGGGAGACCAAAGTAAACACCACCATGGGATCCCGCTACTGTAACACACCAATTTGAAAACTGGGTTTCAGATTGCCATGGTCTGTGTATTGACAAAGTTGTAGGGATAAGAATCCCACTCTGATATCACAGATTTAGGGCTGTTTTCCGCGATCGCCGTTGCAAAGGGAATCCTTGTCTGGATTCCCCCTGAAGCCCTTGTTCCCTTTCGTGGGAGTGTCGCTTCTTATTTTTTGAACCAAACAACATAATTTACATGACTTGGGACTGCCTGGTACCTCCGGCGGCGGAATAATGTATGTACGCATGAACACACACACACACACACACACACACACACACACACACACACACACACACACACACACGCACACACACACACACATACGTTTGCATTCATAGATATTCGAATGTGGCCGATGCGCACATATATGTATATACTATAGATAGAATTGTGTGTGTCTTTGGTAGTGAATCCCCTTTTCCCTTTTGGCTGGTTTTAAACACCAGGAGGAAAACAGCAACTGTTGGGTTCCCTAGCCTGAGGACAATCCCAATATATATATATATATATGATATCCCTAGTTTGAGGACAAAGAAAGAAGGAAAGTCAGTTCATGGGGGGGGGGGCTGACCATACATATATATATATATATGTGTACTTACATTTCTCCAAGAACTGTCGACCTTTTTGCAGCGCGGCTTCCAACTTAGGGGTTCTTGGGGTTCCCTTTGTTTTCCACTAACCAGGCCAAACACATTTTTTTTGCAGGGGTTCTAATTCCAGCCTAGTTAAAGCTGGGTCAATGACTATATTAATATATATATATATATGTACTTACTCTTCCTCGACCTTTTTGCAGTGCAGCTTTCAACTTAGGGGTTCTTGGGGTTCCCGTTGTTTTTCACTAACCAGGCAAACACACATAGTTTTGTTGTTGGGGTTCTAATTCCAGCCTAGTTAAAACTGGGTCAATGACCCAACCGGACGCCCAGGCAACTGCGGGCTGTCTCTTTGCGAGAACTTCCAGCGCTCCGAGGAGAGCTGCTGCCGCCACGCGGGCAGCACCGCGCTGTTTCCGGTCACGGACCCGGGGGTCTTCTACTGCAAGGGCAACGGGAGTGGCTCGGCGCAGAAGGCGTTTTTCTTTTCTTTGCTGGATTTTGCCAAGGGATGTTAGAACTTTAACTTTTTGCCAGCTAATGGGTGTTCCAGTAGACCACTAAAAGTCAATCTTTTAGTAGGGGAGCCGAAAGCAACGGAGTTTTCTTGGTGGTTCCTAGAAGCCGTACCGTTAGGCTTCTAGGGGTTTAGGGTTTGGTGGGGGGGGTGGGGTTCCATTTAACCCTCTAGAGGTTAAACTTTTAGCAGGAATTTTGAGGACAGCCCAGTTTTGGTTCACCTTTATAAGAACCCATAAAAGGTGCCCTCGAAAAAGAACGTGCACATCCAAATGTCGGAGAGAGCTTTGGGCAAGGCGTGTGATCAACCCAATGGAGACTCCGTTGACAAGATGACTGGGAGGGTTCCCCTACTGAAATAGATTACAGAAACAAGTTGGCACCCTTATTCCAACCTCTCTACTGGAGGACCTAGTAAGCATGAAAGCCTTGACAGTTCGGAGAAGGCGAGTTGTTCTGGGACTGTCAAAATCAATGTCCACGATCCTTATGCCAGCTGGCAGTGATTGTAGTGGTTTCCCTTGTAGCGGTGTCCACTAAAGATTCCGGGTTAGGACTGCAGATCCCCCATGTTTAGCAACCTGATTCGCAGGCTGCTCTCCTGCCGCTTTACACTAAACTCAAGAAAGGGGCCTCAAACAATGGGGCATGAGCGCAAATCTGAATCCAATGCCTGGGGTAGCTTGGCCCCTGTTCGGAGAAAAAGAATGACCGCGTCTAGTGTGGAAACCCTGTTCTCAATTGCCCAAAGTCCTCCTTGTTTGGTCTTCAAGATACTGACCTTGTATTTCACGGCGGTGTCTAGTCCTCCTCCTCCCAAATATGGGTATGGGTCAACATTAAACCACCAGGATATGGACCGTAGGTTTTGGTTTACGCTTCCACTTACCAAATCAACCCATTTTGCGCACATATTTTTCACCCACAGCCATATTTATGCGATGTGTGGAGCTTGCGCCGAGGTTGGTCCGGGCCGACTGGCGCTGAGGACAAGAGCAAGTCTGTTTTGTCAGCCCTGCATGGATGTTCGGCCAAGTGGGCAGCCACCTGGGTTATAACCAGGTCCAGGTCCCCCAGTAGTGCCCTTTCTCACCCCTTTTTTGGTTGGGAGGGTTTCCCTACTAAAATAGAGTACAACAAAAAGGGTACCCTTATTCTAAGCTCTCTACTGGAGGACCTAGAGCTAGTCTTTCATTTTCCCTTGTAATCAGCAACAAGTGACCTTTTTGCAGGGGGTCGGATTCGCTTGGACAAGAACCCACTATGGGATATACAATCACTATGGTTTGGGGGTAGTATATACACCATTTTAAGCTGGGATTCAACCCCCCATTCAACAATGGGAGTTCATATAGTCACCATTGCTTAAGGATTGTCAGATTCTCAGATTGTGTCCTGTGCGTTCAATGCAAATCGGTTGAACCCTAGGGTCTTGGGCACAAATTCGATGAGTTACTCCTGAACGGTGAACAATGGCGGTTGTGTCTGAACCCAACCATTGTTTTCAAGGTGGCTGGCAGCTGAATCCCAGGGTTCATGGTTGTGGCACAACAGGCAAAGCGGGGCAACCCAAGAGAAACCAAGAGAAACCAAGCGATTCCAAGACAAAGCAGGGGAAACCAAGGGAAACCAAACAAATCCAAGGAAATCCAAGGCAAACCAAGGGAAACCAAGGGAAACCAAGGCAAAACAAGGAGCAAGCCAAGCAAAACCAAGGCAAACCAAGAAACGCCGAGGAAAGCCGAGATAAACCAAGAAGGGACATCAAGAAGGGCCACCAACAAGGTAAACCCAGAAAACCCCAAGAAAGACCAAGGGAAGCCAAGGGAGACCAGTGCAACTCAAGGGAAGCCAAATAAACGATTCCCTGGGTTGGGGGGAATCGAGGACAGCAACACCTACACCTCCCAAGCCCTCATCGAGTTCGCCAGTTCCAAGCGAACCGCCGCCCAGAGCTTTGAGACCTGCAGTGAAGCTGGCCACAGTTGTGATGTTGTTCGTGTGTTGCCTTTTTGGGAGTGTGTCCCTCTTTTTTCTTTTTCATTTTCTTTGTTCTTTTTTTTTTTGGGGGGGGGGAGTTAAAGGTGTCTGTTTTTCTTTGGCGGGGGGGGGGAGTGAAAGGAGTTGTTTGTTTTGTTTTTTTTTTGGGGTAAAAGGAAACTAAAGGAATCTAAAGGGTTCCCTATTTTCAGAATCACTTCCTTTTCATGCATATTTTGTCACATGCACACGTATGAGTCAAGTTTCGACGTTAGGCCAATCCAATATTTCTAATTCCCGGTAATCCTGAAGGGTCACCCGGCTTGGAACTGGTCGCAATAGGCTCAAGCTCACTCCTTGAGTTCCGTTTTAGTGGTAAGTAAAAACTTGGTGGCTCCCAGCCATCCCCTTAGCCTTTCAGCTTTTTTGTGTTTAGTGGCGGTTTCCATTTAAACCACTAAAAGTTAAACTTTTAGCGGGGGATCTGAGGGCAGCCCAGAAAAGTTTGGACTTGTTTTCGGTATTCCAGACCTGGGCCAGAGTGACCTGAATCTGGGTATTTGGCCATGATGTTGGGCTTTAGCAAGACCAGCGAGTGAGGGACCCCACTGGAGACGACGGCTTTCAGCCTCCTTAAAGGTGATGGTTCGTTGGGCAAGCTGCGAATGCCCAAGATAGGGATGTGGTTGTTCTAGGGTTTGTTGGGAGAACTTAAACGGCCCGCTTGGCATGTTAACAACAATGCACCCCTCCCTAGGTTTAACCATGTTTAACCCCCAAGAACGGTTGACCAACATGAGATGATGAAACACCTGAACGGTAAACAATCTCTGTGTTTTTGTTTGATAGAACCAACCCTAGTTTTCAATCTGGCTGGCACCTGAACCCCAATTTGTACATGGTTGTGGCAAACCGGGCAAGCGAAACCACGGCGAAATGAGGGGAAACCAAGTTCCAATGGTGGCTTGACATGTTCAGTTGGGCCTCTTCCTTTGGGCGCTTTGACCGCCAGGCCGGGATCGCTTGCTGCGGCGGGGCGGCGCATTCCGCGAGACCTCCTTGCGAGAGTGTAGCCAGATCTGAGGGGAGCTTGAATTGAAACGGGTGTTTTATAGAATGAATTGGGGTCCATACCTTGGGTGTTCGATTCGCCAATTAGTAAGTTGTTAGCAACCTCTGGTACAACCCCATTGTGAGCCCCCATACAGCCCCCTAAGTGGAGTTAAACATGTTATTGCTCGGTTGGTGAACCACTTACTAACTTGGCTGATCATATAAGTATAACATGGTGGATAAATTCCGAACACGAACTCTTTCTGCGGAGCTTGAAATTCCAAGGAACTTCCTCCTGACGTACTTCAGGCGCTTTCAAGTTGCTCAATTGACTTCTTGTCACAAGGCAGCAAGGGACACTTAGAGAAATAGGTGGGAAACCTTTTAGCAATCAACAAATGGGCTTTGCTTTGTGGGGTGGCCAAAGATGTCGGTTTGTCTCAACCTCCAAAGATGGGTGGTGTTCCTTTGGTTTCGCCCAACACTCACCACCAAAAATGGTTGCATCGAACTAAATCGAAACCATGACCATATGGCACGGTTCCCAGTATTAATCTTTGTGTTGACATCGAACTCCACTTTTAGGCGAATAACGAGTGAGTTGTCTCTTGGTGTCATGATGTTTAACTAGGACATGCAGGTCAGTCAGTTTTGCTGCATCGTTTGGAAGGGGGACATGTCATCTTACCGTCAGAGAGTCAACAAAGTGCCACTTGAACCGTGTGCTGGTGGCAATAGTGTTCTGCGCTGGCACACGCCGAGGGGATCATTGCTGGAGTTCTAAGGGTTCATTTCCCATTCACCCATCGGTTGGATTGGAAACCACCCATCTGTCCAGGGTTTGGCAACCGTTTCTTCAAGAGAAGGATCCCTGGAAAGAAGAATGAGATCGAGAAAGGTAGAGCTAGAGTCCAGCTGTTTGGACTGTGAATGTGCAACGATTCCTGCGCATTCCATCTCTGCTCATCAGGATCCATGCATCCCACCCGAAACCAAACAGGTTTTCTTTGAACAAATAAGGAGTACCCTAGTTAGAAGGTCTTCTTGGGAAAGCTCTTACTTACTTCCAGGTGAGCTGGTTATACTCAGTTCCGGAGTTCCTGCCGAGAACTCAGGAAGTGAGTCCTGGACATTAGTTAAGTTACTTGTTGCCAAGACCGTTTGGGCTTTCCTGGGCAATCTGACCTCGGGAAGTGAGTATGACTTGTGCATGTTATTTGAGTTTTTCATCTGAATCCCTTCATTGGGCCAGCCGGTGGCCGGAGCTCCGAGCCCTGTAGCTCAAGGCCCAACGCGAATCGACCACATCTGACCTGTTGGTTTTTCCCCTTTGTGGCTTTGTCCAGTCTTTGTGGCAACCCAAAAGGTGATCGGCTTTCATTTTCTAGGTCCAATTCGGGCAACTGAGGTAGGTTTTTCTTGTAGTGGTGTCCCTCTAGATATTTAGGATTAGGGATCATTCGGCTTGTCCAGGATTTTTTTCTTGTGGCGTGCGGCTCGATCTCAGGCAATCTGCAGTTCAGCCGGGAACCTACTGAGAAGCTGTGCATCATGCTGCCAGTTGCCATTGCCATCGGGTCTCTTAAATGTAATTGGAGGAGGAAGGTGACCCCTGGAGATCTGCCCGGAGTCTCCACGACCCTTTAAAAATGAGTCAATGCCCCCAACATTTTGGGTAATGACTCACTTTTTAAGGGTCATTGAGACTCCAGGTCCACTTATAGCTTGATTTTCCCTTGGGGAAGACTGGATAAATGGAATTGGAGGACCCCCCACTTCCCCTCCCCCTTAAGGTAGGGCTCGTTTGCCCAGTTGCTGTGTTGGATTCCCGCATTTCTTTCACACATTCCTTGAGATGCAAAGCCAGGATCATGCGATCAGGCAAGGCACCGACTAGCAGTTGCATCTTGCTCTGGGAGTGCTTTTGTTAGATTTAACAATTATTAGGGGTCATACACGTTGCCAACCACCATGAAAAATCATAGGGGTGTTAGGGTACCTTGTGGTTTTGATGGGAAGCCAAAAGGAACATCCACCATTTTGAGGGGTTCCCAGAAAGGAGACACACCCATTCACCAAACTGCTCTTCATCGAGCATTGCAAACCAGAGCCCAAATTCACCATATGGGGTGGCCTCGTCTGTCTTCAAGTTGGCCTCCGCCACACGGCAAAAGGTGTTCCTTTGGTTTCCTTTCAGACAACACCAAACATAGGGGCTCCCCCCCTCGCTCTCCGAGTTCCGCTTTGGCTTTAGTCACTTTTGGGGTCTGCTCCATTTATATAGGTAAACAACAAAAGCATGTTCCTGGAGTCTCCTTCTGACCCTTGAAAATGGTTGGTCAATGACCCCAATTTATTAGGGGTGTTTGACCCATTGTTAAAGGGTCAGAAGGAGACTCCAGGATGTCCAGCGGCTTTGGGTGTTCTAAACGGTTTCCGTTTAGAACCCCACCAAGGCTCGGTTGTTGTTGGGAGACATTTTACATGTTTGCTTATTGTGGTTTAGTGGTTGAAATCCCCACTTGGCTGCTATTTTTTTTTTTGCTCCCCTTTCAACGTCAACCAAGAAGGGGTGCCCTCAAGAAAAGACAGACCCGTTTACGGTCATGTTGACCCCAGAGTAATCTGGTCATACCCACTAAACCCAAGAACACCGCCTATTAATAACGGCATGGGTTTTGTATTCTTGCTGGTGCTCGGTAGGGAAGAATGACCCAGGTTATTGGCAGTGAACCTAGGGACCTTAAAAGAAACCATCGGGATTTTTGTGTTTTTTGTTGTTGTGTCAATTCCATTTCTCATTGCCTGCCTATCGAACCGATCGCAAGTATTGCGGGGTCAACATGGGTGTGGCTCAAAATTTAACAGCTGGGGCAAACCGCCGGTTTTAGTCTTTGGTTCCATTTACCAAGATGGCCATGTTGATACATGTTTCTATGACAAATTGTAGCAAGCCACCCTGAGGCGAGCCCCAAACCCGAATTACGAGGTGGTGTCCGAAATAAGGGTTTCTCAAATTATGATAATTCGTACAGATGTTGTTAAGCCACAGCCTTTCCCAAAGGCCAAAGCCTTTGGGGTGTGGTCCACTCGTTCGGGAAAAAAAGATCAGGTGATATCCCCAACAGCATGCGGTGCTCTTTTTAGCGCTCGCGCCACCCCGCAGCAGATCCTCGTGGAACCCTGGCGGAACCCTCGTGGAACCCTCGTGGAACCTGACCTCAGGGCCGCCCCGGACCACCCCGGAGCCTATCTGGGCTGAGACCCCAAAGCTTTCAGCTGTTGGGGAAAAAACACAAACGCGAGGCGCGTACCTCTTGCGCCGGTCCATGTGGCCGCAGCTGCGCACTTGGCTCGCCTGGAGCCCTTGGATGGGTCCGAATAGCTCAAGGATCTTCTGGTAATTGGTCGAAGATGGGTTAACAGAGCCATGGTTTGCCTTTTCCATGAATATGCAGCTGGTAGTGTAGAAACCCTTTTCAAGGGAGGCAATTTCAAAAGGCAAACCCTTAACAGAGGTGTCTTATTTTGGTGGCAAGGGAGCTGCGGCGAGCTGGGCTTGGATGCGCCAAGTTCGTCTTTCCCCGTGACTCCACTTAGCTGAGGTGCCCAAGGGAGCCCTTTAAAGACCCAGTGACAAAACTCAGGTGTTCAGTGGCACCCATTGCTTTTTCCAACTTTTTTTGGTGGCTTTTTCCCACTAAAATGGTCCAAGCCCCAAAAAAGGGTTCCCTTTTTTCCAGGGTCACTGAACAACTGAGCAAATGTAGCTGGTTGGCTACTGTGTAGTGCTAACTCGGGTCCTTTTGATTTGCTATGAGTTTTTACCCTCCCTTCGTAACATAGCATGGAGGAAACCTGGAAGGTCAATTCCTCTTGGAACCCTTAGTCGATCGGTGCCATGGGAACGTGGGAGGGTAGATGTTGATCTTTACAGCGGGTCTGTTCTTGGAATTCTTGGGGTGTCCATCCATAAAACGGTTTGGAGGCGTTTTTTGTGGATTTTACCTGTGCTTCCTTTGTCTGTTGGTTCATTCAAGTACTCCTTTAGTACTCTTTTTGTACTCTTTTGGTACCCTACAAGGATGGATCCAACCGCATCCAAACCGTTTCCTCGAGTCCACTCACAGAGTTGCTTGCTTACCAAGTAACCCTTTGCTATTGTCCTTTTGGAGTTTATGTCGGGGCGTGCGGGTACTTGGTAAGTGGTTAGTAAGCCTGGTCATAGCCCACTTAGGAGACTTATAGCCACGGTAAAGTGGGTTATAAGCCTGGTTCTTTCCCATTTACTAAGTACCCGATTGCCCCCTTAAGTACCTTTGCCGATCCGCTGGGCTGAGAATTCCATGGCTCACATCTTGACACTTTTTGGAGTGCGCCCGTCGCGAAGAGCTCTGGCTCGAGCTTCAGGGCCCATCGGAGTTTGTGAGTCAACTCGGGGCACCCCGCAAACTAGCTCGAGGTTGGAAGGGAGACGAACCCGGAGCTGGGGGTATCCCAATTTGCTTTCAACGAGGGAGCCTTTGCTAGGACATAGTAGAAAATAATTGCAGTCCTTTTGGTTTCCAAACACAAATACACCCGTTTCAGCCACAGCCTAGATTCAGGGGAAGCTGGTTGAAATGTGAAAGGCAACCCGGGAGCCGCTATGTATCATGAGTGCTGGCGGTTTTTGGGGCAGGCAGTTCTTTGCACAAAAGACGGCATGACACAACATGTTTTTTTGAGGGTACTCCTTTTTTTGGCAGTGTTAAAGGGAAACCGAAGGAAACCACCAAATTGAAGGCTCTACAACAGATTCCAAGCGCCGATTAAATCGTCCAGTAGGTTCGGTTCAACTCAGCCAAGACAAATGGTGTCATTGCGTTCTATTCCCGCAGGTTCAATTCGAACACACTTGGGATGTCAAATCTTGTCAAGGTACATCCTTATCATTCAATTGGACAACTCAGAAGGATTCAACTAGACTTGTCCTGCACTGTGCAAAGAAATGAACTCCAATCAGGTGTTTCCTGTGATTCGTGTCCAGTGGAAGTTAAGGCAATGCGCCGGGGGCCAACTGACAGCCAGTCTACAGTTCTCCTATTGAGCAAGAGCCCTACAAAAGGATGCAAAAGGAAGACTTGCGCTCGCCAGCATACCGCTTGGTGTAGCAGCGATTGATCAAGACTACTGTTTGCTAAGCAGCCCATGCTGAATTGTTCAATTGAGAAACCAAAGGGGGATGGGTACTTGCTTATTCCAACCCCCTATTTCATACCCGGAGACGCACACTGGCCACCATGCGCGGCTGGCTATTGGTTTGACTGGACATGGCTTTGCCGACCAAAGACTGGATCCATGACCGAGATTTGGCGGGCACGCTGCTGGCGAAGCATCAGTTCAGCCCCTCCTGGGAGCTTCTCGCTTGCCCAAGGTGGATGGACGAAATCCATTTCGCACCACCTTCGACACCCTGGTTTCTGATGATCCCCTGTAAATGCCAACCGACAATGGTTTCCCATGGTTTCAAACTGGTGCAGGATTTCGTCCATCCACACTAGGTGTCCTTTTGATCGTTAGTTTGCATAGATATAGATGGGTTCCACTGGCTTAGATCGCCCACGCATTTTGCCAGAGAAACCCATCTATGTTACCAAAAGGACACATATTCTTCTGACCTTTTGGTATTTTTGTTGGTCCGTCTTGTACCTGGAGTCTCCATGACCCTTTAAAAATGGGTCAATGACCCCATGATTTTGGGTAATGAACCCATTTTTCAAGGGTCGTGGAGACTCCAGGTAGTGTTTTTCCCGAAAGCATCGCGAAGGGTTCTTCCGTGCGGAGCCCTTGGACAAGTTACACAGAGCCAAGTTAAATAGAGCCAAGTTACTTAGAGCCAAGTTACATAGAGCCAAGTTACATAGAGCCAAGTTACATAGAGCCAAGTTACATAGAGCCAAGGTACATAGGGCCAAGTTACATAGAGCCAAGTTAAATAGAGCCAAGTTACTTAGAGCCAAGTTACATAGAGCCAAGTTGCACAGAGCCAAGTTGCAAAGAGCCAAGTTACATAGAGCCAAGTTACATAGAGCCAAGTTACATACATAGAGCCAGGTTACATAGAGCCAAGTTACATAGAGCCAAGTTACATGAGCCAAGTTACATAGAGCCAAGTTACATAGAGCTAAGTTACATAGAGCCAAGTTGCATAGAGCCAAGTTGCATAGAGCACAGAGCCAAGTCACACAGAGCCAGGTGGCACAGAGCCAAGGTTAGGTAGAGCTTGCGTACAGCTTCGGCGTAAGCAGCTATGTAAGTTAGTTTAGGTTTCTAAGGCGCCGGGGCGGGAGTTTGATCATCGCTCTGGATTGCGACCCTCTGCGGAGATTCGCGTGGTCGAGGTTCAAAAACTGAGGGCTTTTTACGATTTTTAGCATGCGCGCGCGACCTTCTGCGGAGATTAGCGTGGTCGAGGTTCAAAAACTGAGGACTTTTTACGATTTCTGCAAGCCGCGCGCGACCCTCTGCCGGGATCGTGCGTGTTGAAGCGCTCTCGCTGTGGCGCCGTGCGAATTTGTTGCTCGCGAAAGTGCCTTTGGAAGTTGTCTCGTGGCTCGCCCGCCTGCTTTTGCAATCCCGCGGTCGCGGGTTCGATTCCCCCCTGGTCCGCGGCAGCTCCGGCGTGAAAATCGCAGCTTTTAAGTACAAACGTAGTACGCGGAGCGTGCTCCTGCAGCTCTGGCTGGAAAATCGCAACTTTTAAGTACAGACGTAGTATGCGGAGCGTGCTCCCGCAGCTCCGGCTGGAAAATCGCAACTTCTATAAGTACAGGGCATGAAACTTAGGGTCATGGTCAGCACACGTAGCCCCACATGCATTTTCTCAATGGCTGTGCCCTCTATGCATAGTGCTTTTCAGTTGTTACAGTTCTGAAGCAAAGCAGGGATATATATTGACCACTAGGCCATTGAATATTGCAGTCTTGGTGCAGGCTAAAGTGCCCCATGACCATCCTCCCTCTCTGGCGAGGCCTGCTTGGTCATCTTTACCATGTGCCCAGAAAAAAATGGTGCGCTTTTCAGCGCTACCCGCTTTTCAGCGGTGCCTATGTTTAAACCCTCCCTCCCTCCCTCCCTCCCTCCCTGTGAACTGCTGCTCCAGGTAGCCCGCCAAGTAGTCAAGACAGGGGGGATGCAAGAGGGACCCTTAGGGAATGAGAGGTGGGATGCCTGGCAAACAAAACTAAATCTTGGTATCTTAGAATGTTGGTGCCTGTATCTTAGTTCCATTTCTTCTGGTTTGACTATAGTACGCGAAGTACATTCCCACAGCTCCGGCAGCACTTGCGCAGAGCAACTTGCGCAGAGTCACTTGCGCAGAGCAACTTGCTCTCTGCGAATTGCACAGAGCAGTTGCACAAAGCACTTACTTGCGCAGAGCAACTTGCACAGACTAACTTGCACAGAGCACATGCGCAAAGCGCTTGCACGGAGCAACTGGCGCAGAGCAACTTGCACAGACCAACTTGCACAGAGCACATGCGCAAAGCGCTTGCACGGAGCAACTGGCGCAGAGCAACTTGCTCAGAGCACTTGCGCAGAGCAACTTGCACAGAGCACTTGCGTGCAGCAGCTTGCAGAGAGCAACTTGCGCGCAGCAGCCTGGAACAATGCAGCTTGCGCAGACCACTTTCGTGAGAAATCGCGCGCCGCAGTTCGAGAGGAAACTAGGATGATGAGATGGAGCTCTCATGTGACCATACACATTGAGCATCGCCGCGTGCAGACACGCTCGCCGCAGCGATGTAAAAAGGTGTCTCCGCGGCTGGATGAGCACCTGGCAAAAAATGCTTTCGGGCCAATCGTCCTCTAGTTTTCTTGTCCAAGTCGTGAGTCGTGGCCTGAAAAGTCTGGACACCTGCTCACTTGTTGTTGTGGCTCATTTCGTCTAAAAGGAATCGGTCAAGGGGGGACTCCAGGCAACCCCACCTGGAGTCTCCATGACCCTTGAAAAATGGGCTTGATTGCCCAAAGATTTTGGCGTCGTTGACCCATTGTTTAAAGGGTCATGGAGACTCCAGGGAGAACCAAACGCAATGGTTGCTCTAGATTTCGATATGTGGTGTTCAACAGGGGTCCAGGAGGTCTGGGCGACCGAGGTTTCCATCTCTCAACCAGGTTCGCTGTGCTCTCGGCCACGGCATCTTGGCTAAAACGACGTCTGGGCTCCGGAGACCTTGGAACCCAAGGATGGCCTAAAAGTCGCTCGAGCCCTGAGCCGGGCTTCAAACTTTTTAGGTTTGAACCATGAAAGGCTCGGGACTTTAGTCACTTTTGGAGTCTTGACAAACGGAAAGTTTGGGGACTCCTTTTT